GATGAAGATCATCCAGGCCTGCTGACTTAAACACATCCAGCCCCTTTGAGTGTCCCTTCACTAAGACGACACTAACAGTTGGTGGGCTGGTTTCCCTTTTGTGCCTGCCTATGATCCAGCTGGGAGATTTGTCCTGATCCGTGTTCAGAAATAATTGTGTTTGTTTACAAGTCATGCTATATGTAATAACAAGTACTATTTGTGTCTTTGTAGTGATTACTCTAGCATGCTGATTCCTATGAATAATGTTTTGTCTCTATATTCACTGAGAAACTGATTCACTCTGCTTTAATTTCCAATATGTTGCAGGTCTAAACACTTGGCTAAAAGTGCTTTAAAATAGCATATTTAATTTACTATTTCGGTAGTGCTTCACAGGACAAGAATTGATAGAATATGCACAGCTTTTAGCATGCACTTGCAAATGCATTGATGGCCCTATGGAGCAGGAAAAAAAAAACCTTGCAGGGAGAAAGATAAAAATAATCAAATGAATATTTCACAGAAAATTAGGAAAAAAGTTAATGCGGTTTTCCCAAAGACCTTAAAGATGTTTAAGAATTTATGAAACTCCTTTTTAAGTTGAAGTTATATAATTTTAATGTCATTGTCTCCAGCCACTCTTATGAAAGCGAGAGTCAAATTTTGCCAGCACTTACAGTTGCTCAGGAAACCACATTGTATTTCTAGATAAATATAAATTAATATAGATGTTGTTGCTTTTGTTCTCATTTCCCTTTCCTTCCCTTCTCTTCTTTTTCCCTCCCCAAGAGATAGACCATGTGGTAAAGTTTTACTGTTGACTTTTCTCACCACTGCAGCAGTACAGATAGTAAATTAGAAACAACTCCTGCCCTGAGAAGAAAATCAAAATATTTGAAAGTTACACACTTTGTTAAAAAATATGAGCAAACAAACCTTTAAGCTGCTTTAAGAGTGAAGGGGGAGCTGCCACTGAAGAGTATGCATCCACTGTTTGGCTGTAACTGTTATATTTACATGAGCTTGTAGTAATATAAATTAGCTAAATAACTGGGACTTTGACCTTGAGTGAAACTTAGAGCTCTTTTGCTGTACAGAATCATGCAGCAGTAAAAGTTATATTGCAACAGCTTATATTGGTATCATTTGGTGTTGATGCAATTGGTATATCTGTCTATCCTCATAAACAGTTTTTGGTGAAGATGTGTTATTCAGGAAAGGGTGCATTGTCTCCAGTGCTCTTGTATTATTATTTTTAAAACTGTTGTAGTGTGCTTAGGGCTTACTGGCGTAAATTCAGTCTCGTCTGAAGAGTTTAAAATTTAGGCAGGAAAAAAAAAACGGAACTTAAATATCCCTTGTGGTTCTTTCTTAGTGTAATAGCTCTTATCTTACATGTTTTGGTGGAGGTGATGGGTTTTTAATGAGCAGAAATACATAGAAATATATTGTGTACATATCCTTGGCAGCCCATAACTAATTAAATACATTTTCCTCAGTGTGTCTGGGAAGAAGTAACCATGTAATAAAGGTTAATATGGTAGATTCTCTTAGAATTGTTTCCAGCTCTGTTGTTTTTATTTAGTTTATTCAATATATTTTTCTTCATAATACAGAAATTAAGGTGCTAATCATTTAAATGTTCACATCCATTTTGGTATTTGCATATCAAGTTTCAACCATGTAATTATAGACTTAATCCTTTGAATATAGTATCAAATATAACTAAATCTCAACATGTCCATCTCTGTCGATGTTAATTTCTTGTTAACCTTGTATTCAGATGAGAAGGCAATGAAATTCATTCAGCTTGAAAGACTATATCATGAACAGCTACTTGCAAATCTTTCTTTTATACAGGAGCAGTGGGGTAAGTACAGTCTGTTCTGCAACCAGGGAGAGAAATTACCATTTGTGCAAAGCTTTTATGTCTCCATCCTAAATAACAGAACAAACATTTCCAGCCAAGTCTGTGGTAACAAAAGTAGTTTTTTTACCAGGGCCTTTTAGAGCATATCATGAGAAAATTCTTCTTTCCTCAAACTTTTGTCTTGCCGCCTTTGTGAAGAAAAGTCTCATTTGGGGGACTGTTCTTTATTTACCCAGGTTAGTTTTCATACTTTCAATGATCTACGATGGTTAGATTTTGTATTTACTCTGGATGCCTTTAAGGCATTGGTCCATATAGTCTTTGGTAAGTCCAGAGTAATTTGTTTCTCAAACTGAAAATAGCAAAACTTGCCTCATTATAATGATATGCTTTTAATTAATGTGTGCTTCAAGATCATAGGGCATTCATAGAATAGATTATTTTATTAATGAAAACAAAATTAGACTTGATCGTGTTTTTCCATGTTAGTCTGTTTAGCTTCCATTGTTTGTTTAAAAAACTGGAAATTTGGTAACACTTTGAATAAAAATATTTGTGGTTTAATTTAGAAATGAAGTGGAAAACAGCTGTGCCTAGGACAGTTACAACTCTGAGGAATTCAGCTAAAGGACTTAGCAATGAAGAGTTAGAAAAGCTTGCTAAACTTTGTACATCACATCAAGAGTAAGTATAGTACTAGTATAGTTGCTTCTTACTTTTAAGTTTGAAATTGCCTACCCCATGCCCACCTCCCCGCCTCCCCCCAAAAAAATTGCACCCAGCTGACACAAATGGATCAAAATTAGTTCACAATTGGACCATAACAGCTGCAATACAACATCCGTACACATGCTCAGTCATTCTCCAAACTAGATACCATCTGGAGTGCTGACGTGGCCAGGCTAGATAAGTATTGCAGCAGGTAGCATCTTCCACCAAGTGCCACCAAAACAATGACAAATACAGTGCATCCACTGCCCATGAATTGAGTGCAATTCTGAATGAGCGTAACTTGGGGTGAGCCATAAATGGTTTTCGTTGTTGCAACACTAGATCTAGTGTCAAACTTTGACCTTTCATAAGCACTTAAAGAAAACAGCTCCTGAAGTTAAAACACCCAATAACCTCCTGGATAAATTACCTGGCTCAAGTGGAGTGCTTACATTCGCACACTCTAAATATCCTCACTTGCCATCTGCTCCTCAGTTGCAGAATAGTGTGTGCCAGTCTGGCGTTGTTCAACACACAGTTCTTTAATCTGCAGTTACATTCAACTATGTGCATTGTATTAGCAGTGTTCCTCTATCTTATCCCCACTGCTACGGTTATCAGTGTTAAGGTGCAGTGTCATCTCCACGTTTGCTACTGCACTTTTACATCTCCTGATTTGCTACTATACACACAGCTTTTCAACTCACTTGCAGTTCATTTATTGCTGAGACTACCCTGGGGTCCAACGTGTTGTACCAAGGCAGCATGCTGACAAGTGGAACAGTTTACAACCATAAGAAACAAGTTCCTTGTTGCCAGTCTAGAATTCACCTTCTCAATTTGACCTTCTCCATCGTCAGTGAGTACTGCTGAATGAATTCCAAACTGACCAACAGCAGCCACTCTTTATGGATGGGCCTGATATTACAACTCACATTGCTGCTGCAGGTGATGAAGAACATTTGTTGACAAGTGCCCTCCTGAAACTTGACAGCAATTTGATGTGATTGAACGCCACGAAGGAAGCAGCTGCTACTTGCCTTGTCAAGAGACACATTTGCTAGAGAGATTAAAAACCCAGTATCTGTAAACAGAAGGGAAACAGCAGTCACACCATAACTAAGTTAGAAATTAAATGAATCATGCATTACAAATATAATTTAAATAAATGGTCCACCATCACTAAATATCATCCTCAAAAATCTTATGGTGTACCTCTTGCATTTTGACCTGAAGATAAATATATTTGAGCTGTGTTAAACTGGGGGGTACCCTTTTCTAGTGAGAGCATTTCCTTTCTTTGGCGCTCAAAAGTTGCAGCTCAGACACCTCTACAGATCTCAGCTGTGGTATCTCATTATATGTAAAAGAGGTGCTCTTAGCTTGATTCAAGGCCATTACAGTGCTGGTACTGACTCGTAAAACTCTATAACGCTTCACTCTAGAAGCCAAAGTCAAGTACTGTAGATCATGAAGAGCTAGTATAATGTGACTGAAACATAGGATATTTTGCTTCATTCTGCTCAAGCATAAGACAGACTAGTGATGCAAATGCAAAAGCTGCCTTTGCTTGTATTGATCAAGCAGGAACATGGAGCCTCCTGCTGCTTTCTGCTCTCATTCACATCACTGAAAGCATAATTTGCTATGCAGAAATTTTCACGGGTTAAAATGCATAAAAAGGAAAAACACAGCTTGACTATTAAAGGCCAGTTTGAGTCTGTATGACTGACAGGAGAAACATTTTGTTGCTCATAGCCTGAGTTCCCTTGATACAGATCCAATGAGAAGCATGAACCTGAAACCCTGCTAATGCAACAGAGGCAACTACAGCCTCATGACTGTAGTGACAGCTTGCTTACTACTCCAGGATTTGAAGATAGTGACACTCCTCTCTCCAAATTCACCTTTAAATACATCTTATTGCATGCAGGATTAAACCCATATTTTCTAGCTATAGCGTAGGCTTAGAATGCTCAGCTTGTTCTAACTAATTTTTCTCCTTGAAATTTCTTCCACATGTCCTCACTTTACTTCTACTAATTATGTAATTTGACCAGGATTAGGATTGTGTGTTGACATTACCTCTTACAATCCTGTGTTGTTGATTCTGATCTCAAAATTCTTTAGCTGTTGAAAGATTCTTTCCTTTGATAATTGTTCCATAGTTTTCTAGGGATTGAAGTTGGTGACAACGATCGAAAGTATTTTTTCCTTTTTTTTCCCTTTTGAATACTCAAGCTATTTGTTTTTCAGTTGAAAGCATAGATGTGTGACTATTTTCTAAAAATAATTTATTATATGTTCCTTGCGGCCCATACCAGACACTTTTTTTTTTTTTAAAGAATAGCTCGTTTCTGCTTTTCATGCAAAAAAATATGCAAAGGAATACTGTGAAGTTAGATGTAAAGTAATTTTTTAAGTGAAGCAAATACTTGCTTAAGGACTATCCATCTGCAGTTTCCCTCTACCAGATTTTACATTTTTAAATCATTTAATAAAATTCTGGTTCCATTATTTTTATGTAAAAGGGCTCAAAGAGAAAACACTGATTATGCACAGTAGAACTGATTGTATACATAGCCTGATTTTCAGAGGTGCTGCACCAGGTCTGGGTCTCACTGAATTCAGTGGGACTTATGGATGAGTGAGATCTACAAAAATCTGAGCCAAAATAAATATCCAGGGACGGTTAATATGTATATGTATGTATATACATTTAGTTACAGTACTTATTATTTTTAATGGTAGTCAGTAATATATTTTCAGATAAAAGTATGATTTTAAAGTTCATTTTAACTGACTTCTCAATTAGGTGCAGAAAAGTCTGTGATAATTGGCCTTTTAATGATCGTAGCATATGATACAACTATGTACTTTAAACTATATTAGTGCTCAGATAAAGTTTCTATGTTGGAAATGTTCCATGCTAATATTAGAGCACACGAAAGGTATTATATGATTTGAGCAATAGTTTTGGTGCGATTTGTTGTAAAGAACATTGCTACTAAGAGTGGTTAATTTATTCTTATTTTCTTTATTGCTGCAGGCCATTTGCCTCCACACACAAGGTAAGAAATTATATTTACCTTGACATTGCTATTGCAATTAAAGAATATCCTAATAGAAATTGTTAGTTTACTTGGATATACTTCTCATAGAGCAATTGGGAAAATGGGTGCAGCATGGACTTCTCAAATAATTGCAGAATTAGAGTTTAAGTCCATAGCTGCAGGAATTGTTTTTCTGTTTTTCAGCTAATAACAGCAGAAAAGTCTGAGGGAGGCAGTTGTTTTGTCCAGTTAATGGAATCAGAAGATTTACAGGAAAGAGGTGCTGCTGCTTGCGATTCAGGTGTGTTTACTGCATATTTATATGTTTTTTACAATATACTCCCTGATAGTATTGTGCAGCTGTTGTGTTAGGAGCTGCAGTATTTGGATTGGATTCTAACAGACACAAAAGAATAAGAATTAATTTTTGCAAATGCCCTAATTTTTCATAATAGATTAATATTCACAGAGTATTTCTATCTAACATAAAGTTGTAATGGTCTTCATATTAACTAACATACTTCATACTTACTCCCTTACTTCACCCACCAAAAGTTACTTTTAAATGGGTTATATAAGGTAAAAATGTATTTGTAGTATACAACACTTCATATTAGCATCAGCCTTTCAGGAAAATTCCAGGTCCACTTGTATATAAAATATCAGGCTAACAGAAAGTCTTATTATAAATATTCTAAGTTGTAGCCATTACATGTAGTTAATTATTTAAATGGTCCATTTCTTTTTATAATGTATAATGTACCAATTCAGAACAAAGCTGCATTTTCCATCCCAGCATAGAATAATAAAGTAATCCTCCTTTTGGAATCTTGAAGGAAAATGACTCAGCATATTCATTTAGGTTGCTAACCAGTAACCTGTATCCTCTTAACTTCTCCTTTCTTGAGAATAACACTGCTGTGTTTGAACACCTCTGAGAAAATGGTATTATACAGGAATAGAGAGGGGGAGAGTTTGTAGCTGGTTTAGCCCCAGCATATTTTTGTACATTGTGTATGAAAATTTTTTATTCCTTTCCAAGGGAGATGGTGACAGTTAAAAATGGTCTAAACATATATATTTTTCTCTTTCCAGTGGCAACTGGAATCACCAAGCAGATGGCAGGAGTAGGGGGTGCAGGCACTAGGAGGTAGACGTGACATGAAACCATTGATTTTCCACACACAAAATTCTTCTTTCTTCCTTCCATTCAACCCCTTCCACTACTACCACCACCAAACAGACAGTTATCTTTTTCTCTCAATACTGTTCCTATCACCACCTGGGGCATTGAAGGTTATTCACAAAGATGGAGTAGAAACCAACTATTAGGCTTTTGCCACACATCTTGCAATCTTTGGTGTATTTCTTAAAGCCCCAGCTTCTGGAGTCAGGCCATTACTTGAGAATCTCAGTTTCCATTTTAAAAAGTAAGTTTCTAGTCCTAGTTGTTACAAACAGAAGCTTGAAAGCAAAGTATGTAAGCATAAAGGGTTCAGAAAGCAAAGAGCAAAAGAACACCCTGGCATCTATTTTTCTTAGTCTGTCTGGGAAAAACTGTTGGAAAAATCTGAAAATGGCCGTAGAGTAAATGACATTTAGCTGCCTGTAATGGGGGTGTGCATACATAAAATCTTAGTCACATATTGCTGGTAACATTTTATACTCCAGTGGCAACATTAAAAAAGAATACATAGGTGGCCAACCTGTACTATGCATGCCCCAAGTGGCGTGGGCATCCTCTGTGTGTGGCATGTGGCAGAAAGGGGATAGGACAGGTGGCACAATGGCAGATAGGGCAGGAAACAGAAAGAGCAGTACATGTGGCAGGGAGCACAGGGGAGCAACCAGAAGAATAGCATAACAGAGAGGGAACACAGCAGAAAGCTGTGGGCAGAGGAAAGGGATTGCAGTGGTACTCTTTAAGGGTGCAGGGCTAATTTGTGGCACACCTTCCAAAAAAAAATGTTGGGCCCCAACTGATCTAAAATGTGTCAATTGGCTTGGTCATTGAAGGTTCAGTAGGCAGGGTAATGAGATTTGTACCTCTAATGATAGCTGGTCCCAAGGAGAATTTATCCTTGTCTGCCCCTAGGGATTTTGCTTAGGAAAAGCAGATTAATACTCCAGCCACAGTGAGACTACTGGGGATGCGATGAATTAGCTTTAACTCCACTACTTAGCAAAGGTTGTGAGCAGTATGCTGCTTCGACCCCTCCCACTAATACATTTTTTACTGCCAGTATCTTGCACTTTGGGTTTTGCCAGCAAAGTAAATTGGGGCCTGTAAATCTAATATTGTAAGAAATACACACAGAGTTGGTATATACTGTATCTATTTATTCCTTCAGCAGTTGGCCCTATGTCTTAATCTTTTCTCAATGCAACTGAAGCTAGCCAAAACCCTCTTTTGTTAAGGCTCTCTTTAAATAAATGTCTACCTTGAGGTGCAAGAGGAACAATTCGACTCCCAGATTCCTGAACCTAGTAAAGGTCTGGTCATGGGTGAAAAAAATTGTTTGCAAAATCTCAGCTGGCAGAATGTCACAAGGCACCACTTTAGCAAACTGCCTTGAACAAACAGCAGTGAACAAGATAATACTGTGACTTCCCATGAGCCACCAGAGTAATTAATATTCTCAAGGTAGCTTATAGTTTACAAAAGACCTGATGTCGTGAGCAAGGTCAGAATGCAGAGAATGAAATGAGTAAGGCATATCGTGAAAACCAATGAGAGAAGGCATGTAAGGCAAATTTAAACAAATTGTAATTTTGGATGCCTTGGGTTTTTTATAGAATTGTAGGCAGTTAGGATTGGAAGGGACCTCAGGAGGTCATCTAGTCCAAACCCCTGCTCAAAGCAGGACTATCCCCAACTAGATCATTCCAGCCAATCATCCCAGTTTTGGCATGCAATGTGAAAAATAAGTAGGCCCAGTTGTTAGAGAGCAGGTCCTCAGCACCTCTGAAAAATAATCCCCTTTAGAATTAATTGAGTTGTACACTCAACATTGAGCCTCTTGTTGCTTTTGAAATCCCGTATTTACTCAGATATGAAGACGACCCCGAATATGACCCCTCAATAATTAGATTCTATATATAGAAAATTTATAAATTTGTTATGAGTTTCCAAGTATAGAATATAATTATGGGAGGTTTACCTGTAATTTGTCCTGCTCCCACTGCTATAGCAGGGAAAATAAATCTGGTGGGATTGGATCTGCCCTCATGCTCAGTGTTGGCAGCATTTAATCAGTTTCATAGTTGGTTTCCATTACTGAGCACGTGCTGTGTTTGGCAGCAGTTCAATGATAGACACTCTAGTTAATGAGGTTTCCTTGTATATGAATGTAAGCTGGGGGGGTTTCCACTATGGGGGAAAAAACCTTGTCTGCATTTGGGTAAATATGGTATTCATGGCAAGCACTAGACACTAAAAGTCCACTGTCTCTGGTACACTTGCCACAAAGAATAGTATGAGCCTCCCAGATAGCCATGCCTGTGGCCGCATCTACACATGCGGCAGACTGTACAGTTGTTACTGTGCAATCATTTAGGACTTGCTTATGCATAAACAGCATTACTGCGTGGTACTGTTGCTGCACGTTTTTTCCCCAGTGCTACTGCACAGTAGCAATGAGCTCATTACTACTGCTCAGTGATGTCACCGCACAGTTAGTACCTCGCAGCACTACTGCACAATAGCAACGAGCTATGGTGCGGTAGCTTGTTGCTACTACCCTGCAGTATCTCATGTAGATGCACCCCCTTTCTTACAACCATAACCTCAAAGTGCACTCTTAGGTAATTTAATTT